TCGGCTCCAGAGGCTTCTGCTGCTGCAGACCGAGAAGGACAGAGGCATCTCAGGGCAGTGGGTCAGGGCATCCTACGTAGGGTAGAAGACCTAGATCCACCTCTGATACCCTCTTATAACCCTGAGTGTTGCTGCCACGCTAAGAACAATTCCCATTCAGTTCTTTGATATCTACCCAGGAAATTTTTTAATTGTTATTTTTGCTTCTTACATTGCCCCAAGGAAATCACATCTATCCTACAAGCATTCCTGCTGGCTCAAAGGAAGGGGAAGATCACAGATCTGCTAATCCCACTCGCTCCAGACACCAATCCGGCTAGCAGCCATAGAGGCAGTTCACACAGGCAAATACCGGTCAACCCAAACCAGACGTCATGATAGCTCTCCGGTGCTCCTAGTGTGCTGCACTGGAGAAACATATTTAGCTGCTCTCCTCTCCTGTACAGGAATAGCCTGAATTTGGCAGAGAGCAGGTTTTGCTCCCCAGGGCTCAGGAGGGGAGACGTTACTTCATCCACTTCCTATGGGGACAGTAACTAACCCAGTGCAGGAAAGCTCAATCTGATTGACAGCTACGGAGCTGGAGGCAGATGCTGCCACATCTTCTACCTGCCCTTGAAGTAATTAATCAAGGAGCTGAGGCTGAGCTCTCCCTTCCTTGCCCTGGGTATGCAGAGCCACAAAGGGTGCTCTGAGCCTGGGTCTGTGATCCACAGCAAACAAGCTGATATTTCCTTTAGGAGAGCTCCTGCTCAGGAACTGTCAGCCCTCCCGTAAGTTGTGTAGGAAGTCAAGGGAAAACAGGGTATTAATCTACCAAATACCCAGATGGTTCTTCAGCAGGCTTTTAGCACAAGGCTGGAGGCTTCCAGCGGGACTAAAACCACTGAGAACTATTCCTGAGCCACATGTTACCTCTTCTTCTGGGAAAGCTGCTTTCTGGGGCTCTGCACCAACAGGAGACAGGACAGTAATGGATTAGACGTTCCTGCCTAAGGGCCGGCTCTTCTTGGATATGCCATCTCCTAAAATTCACATATGAGTACTGGCTCTGATCCCTCCCTTCAAAGAGGGTGAGATCCTGCCCCCAGGCTTTTGCTTCTGCGTTACAGTCTCACAGAGCCACCAAAGGAAAATGATCTGCGTAATTACTCTTATTACTGACAGCAATAAAAGCATCTCAATATATAGTGTCTGTCAGCCACGCACAAGCTCACTGAGGCTTTGCTAATTACTGAAGTTTCCTGTGCTGACAAAGGGATCCCAAGGGATGCAGCAACTGATGGGAAAAAAACCTGTACAGAGGACTTTCAGCGCTGCACAACAGATCTCCTAGACTACAAACATGTTGTAGCACCTTGCCACAGGGTCCCATGGGCACTGCAGGCACCCACATACAAGCACAGAATCTGGTCTTACACCCTGAAGACCACCCATCATACCATAGTAGGTACTTCTTGGAGACAGGAGCCTAATGAGAGTCAGGATTTAGGGAGCTCTGAGCAGAGAAGCGATTCTCCTTCCACAATTCCCAGCATCTCTCCAGCACCTCCCGTCTCTGGTAGCCTCCTTTACTTGCACGGAGCATCTGCTGTAGATGTTATTGTTTCTGGGTGCTATGGGACTGATGAGTTTGTTTTGCACCTCCGGCACAAGTCTGGGAAGCTGTCCCAAACCTCCTTAGCCATGTGTCCCTGAGTAAAGCTCACCCTCCCACGCCAAGCTTGTGCTATACCGTCAGCTTGCAGAGAACGTTATGACTGCAGCAACCTGGGTTCGATGTACAAACAGCAGCACTCAGGGCAACCAGCCTGGGCATCTCTCTTGAGAATTGCTTGAGAGCTAAAAGAATATCTAAGCTTTATGAATACTGACCTGGTTCAAACTAGACTTAACTCCGTAAATTTATTTTCCCACATCCACATGGGGTGGGCTAAAAGTCACCTGCAAAGGGCCAAGCTGCCAACCAGACCTTCAAGTAGTCCTGAGTGCAGAACCCTTTCCAAACCAGTATGTGTGCTTGGCATGCAGGCTTCAGAAACCCCTTCTGATACCATCATCTCATGTTAAGGTGATGAACAGGGATGATGAGTAGCCCAGAACATCCCAAGTCACCTTCATTTCAGGACGGGCTGGGATTTTTCACACCCAGACACAGGTGCACGGGGCGAAATGGAGGCATTTGGACATGCAAAGCGCTGAAGGTCAAATTTTCATTGTGCTTTTAGCAGCAAAGACATTTTCTTCACACTCATCTGTAAAGTTTGTAGCAACAGGACTACCAATATATGTACTGTCTATCCAGGGGACAGTACCTACATTCCTAGCCAGGACAGTCTAAAGGATGCACAATTTAAAATCAACCAATTAACAGGCAAAGGGAAAATTGTGACTTATTCACGTTGAATAGCTCCATGTTTGCTTAAGCAATGCTAGGGACAGATTCGACCCAACTTCAGCAAAAATTAAACCAATGCAACATGCACCTGATCCTGTGTAAGTCACACGAACAACAGCGTGATTTATTGAGAACTACTGCCACTTGTGAGCTGAGCCAGTCAATACAGATCCACAGTAAAGCAAGGAAAATGCCTCCCAACATCCTAAACTGCTATTTTGCTCTTAGCTCTTCTGTTTCATAATAAACAGTCTGTTGGTGGCTCTGAAAGAGCAACACAGCTGCTTTTTGTATGCAAGTCACAGGGAGTCTGACTTAGTGCAGGACAAATTAGCCAGGGCTTGCCAGGCGAGGTTGGGTAATATTGTCTGGTGCTCTGCACTACACCTGCAATAAACAGCTTTTAAGACTGATTGATTAAATGTTTTGGTTTCACTTTAGCAATTAATCTCAGCAGCCTTTTACTTATTTGTATGCTTCAAAGCTAGAGAGATAATCCCTTAATTATTCCCTTGCTCTCCTTCTCAATCCATGGTTTATTTAAAAATAACTGCAGTGTTGCACTGACAGGCAGGAATGAATCCTGGGTTCATCTCCCAGGTAGCTGCACATGTTCCGAGGAGGTCATCCATCTCGGAGCCAGCAGATAGTTTGATCCCTGTGGCCTATCCATGCAAATCGTTTTTGCAAAGATTAACCACGGAGGAACCAGGTGTTTCAGTCCCGTAAGAACAAGACTCAGGTTTTCAAAGCAAGCCATGAAGATCCCAGCCCTGATTCTTCTCTTGGTCTTTTCATTCACATAGGATAAACCCCACAGCCCCAACCTCTAGTGTAGTTACCCCTGATTTAGAATCATAGAATCATTAAGGTTGGAAAAGACCTCTAAGATCATCGAGTCCAACCATAGACCCAACACCACCATGCCCACTAAACCATGTCCCTAAGAGCCTCATCTACTCGTCTTTTAAATACCTCCAGGGATGGGGACTCCACCACTTCCCTGGGCAGCCTGGTCCAATGTTTAACCACTCTTTCAGTAAAGAAATTTTTCCTCACGTCCAATCTAAACCTCCCCTGGAGCAACTTGAGGCCATTTCCTCTCATCCTATCGCTTGTTACTTGGGAGAAGAGACCGACCCCCACCTCGCTACAACCTCCTTTCAGGGAGTTGTAGAGAGTGATGAGGTCTCCCCTCAGCCTCCTTTTCTCCAGGCTAAACAACCCCAGTTCCCTCAGCCGCAAGAGAACCCAGAGAACTCTTACCCCAGAGAAAGATCTAGCCCTCTGAATTTTATCCTATAGATTCTTTATATGCATACAAATGAGGCACTTTTTGGGCTCTCTACCTGGAATTTCACTGTTTCTTTCAAGAACCAGTGTGCTCCAAACCCATGAGCTTCTCTGAGCGAGCATGAACCATTCCCTGCGAATACATCATTAACTGTCAAATATTAAACAAAGCTGTGATAACTCATAAGGCTACAAAGAGCATTTGGAAGATGTAGGAGCATTTTTACAACTTCTGCGAACTCAAGGCAACTAAAACATTCGTTGCTGGGCTAAAGCCTCACAGTAGCACCTAGATTAGGACATCACGCTTCCCAGGACCGAAGTCCAGTAATAGGGACAAAACAAACCTCTCTTTCAGGCAAGAGAAAATGCACACCAAATGCATTCATGCAACTGAGAGTGTCTCGTTCAGCATCACAAGATACCTCTGCTGAACCAAAGCTGACAGAAGCATTTTAACGTCGCACCTTTTTCTTGAGTTTTTCCCACTTACTCTTAAAGTGACTCACAAAGTTGACGGTGTTTCTGTGGCCTGACCTTGGTTTCTCATACCCTACTACAAATTTTACACCTATCTCGGGAGGCAGCGAGCACTTCCTGCCAAACCCCAAGAGCCCTCAAGTCCTGGCTACTTGAGTCCTGACGTTGTGAAGCGTGGGATGTAGATGGGTAGAGGGCAACACAGAAAAAAGGGTCTGTGGCAAGACAACGGAGAAGCACATATGGGACAGAGGTGCGTAAGAGGCAGTGGGCGTTGGAGAGAGTCTGATAGAGACATGCATTTCCCATGTTACACTTCAAACATAGCATGGTCTAGGAGTAAAACTTCACACGTGCATACACACACTGCAGTGGAGAATCAGTATTTCTCCTCCTCCCTCTCAGCAACTCCCAGCAAAACAGGATTCCAAAATCTCATTCCTCTTTGATGGGATCTACTTTAACAATCCCCTAATCACCAACTATTTTTCACTTTTGAGGTAAAGCTGGGACAGGGGAGGTACACCCAGAGGGGGAATTAAGGTGGCTGGGACAACAGGGAATGATGGTAGACGACTGTCACAGGGGGTGCTGGGTGGAGACCACCTTTCTGACACCAGGGTCGGACCAGCACACAGGACATAGACAACAAGGACAGATTCAGCCTTTGCCCCATATCTGCTCACTTCTAAGCACTAAAACATGCAGAGGTTTGGAAAGAAAAGGTTTTAGAAGTTGTCTGCAAAGCAAGCTTAACATTATTCTGCTTAGAAAAGGCTCCATTTTGAAGGATGCAGAGAGCGTGCACCATGCAGTGCCCAGCACTTACCTGTGTCATAGTGAACTATCAGGGATCTGGAATGATCCCCAGCCTTCAGCGGGTGAAACTCCACTGTTACTTGCATGGTGTCACCAATCCCAAGAGTCCCGATGGAGGGATCGACAGAGAAAGGGCTGCAATACAAAGAGAAATCAGGACTATTGTGGGAGATTTGGGGGCTATATTCCTTTGGCAGTCTAGTTCACTTCAGCTCACTTGTGCAAGCAAGGAGCAAACAAACCACAGTCAGCAGAAGAAAAACACAACATACGGGATCAGAAACAGAGCTATTGACTCTCACTTCTGAAGAGATCCGGTCCTCAGAAAAGCCTATGGTATAAAATGACCTCGTCTCCTCCATACGCTGTATCCAGTTCTCTGCAGTGAGGCTCAGGAGTCCGACTGCTAGCAACACAACCAGAGAATGGTTTTTGAAGAGCACAGAGATGGTAAAAGCTATTTGCATGCACAACTTGACACCGACTTCCTCGGGAATCTGTCTTTTCCTGTCACCTATAAACCTCAAGAGATGCAAATGTCAAGGCAATACCTGTTCCAATGAGATTATAGCCTAGAAATCAGACAGGGAGAATAAAAGTCTCTCTCGAAGACCAGAGAATTATTATGGTTTAATTTGCAGAATTCATTTTTTACCTTGAAAACATCCTGGTTTAGTCTAAGAAAGGGCACATTTATCAGCATTTCAGTGAAAGCTGCTCTAAGAAGAAAAGGAACAATCAGAAAAATCTGAATGAGCGCAAATGCAGATTAGAGCAATACCATGACATGGAAGCAAGACACAAGAGGAGTATCCCATTTACAGCCTGAACGATTAAACCCCTAGCTAAATGAAGTGTCATTAACAGGAGCGTATCAAGGCGAGTTTAACAGGAGGTTTTCTCTGTGTTCACAAGCAACGCAATCTAGGACTCTGGGTTGTAATCCAAGCTCTGTAACTGTTTGCTTGGGCCCCCAGACAAAGTCTGTGCAATGTGTTGGAAATAATTATGAAAATGTGTTGGTGTACTTTGGTTTTAATATGAGCAATTACGATTTGTCGCCAGGTAAACAGCTCTTGGCTGATAGACACAAAACTCGGTGCTTTAATGCTCAGGGGCAAGTCAGGTGAAACATGCTTCTGCACAACGGCAGCTGGGCTTCGTGGCTCTTGTACAGCCCCACTTAGAAAACAAAAGTTACTGGGTTTAGTGCTTTGCCGGTGGTCAATTTGTCACCTTAAAAACACGTTCTGCAGAGTTTTACCATGATTAGAGAATGCAATACACACACAAAAATAATGAGAACAACTGGAGCCATGCGCAAGCTGAACTTTGTTCACGCCACTAGTGACAGCTGATGAAATTGCTGGAGTTTCTGCTCATTAAGGAGTTATTGCTGCAATTAGGGCCCTGACCTGTTCCCATTACAACTAGTGAGAACATTGGTGCTGACTCTAATGGAGAAGCATTGGGCCTGCAATGTTTACGTGCTGGACTTGAGACTTTTGAGAGAGAGAAGGAAAGACAAGGCACCACCAGCCTCAGAACTGGATTGCTCTGCACGGTCCTGCATCTGCACTGACGGTTATGCCAGGACTGCTGCAGGACTCTGCTGGTGCTTGGGTGGGATCATGGCCTGCTGTGGGAAAGGCAGAGAATTTTCTTCCCCCCCATACCCTTTTTTTTTTTTAAATGCCAGAAATGTTGCCAGAACAGAAAAGCTGCTAGCTAAGGAGGGGGATTCCTGGCAACACTTCAGCACTACCTCCCATCCCACCATCTTCCTACTTCTTCGCTCGTCTACATACTCCTGCCCTCGGATGGCTGGGATGGGAATAACACTCCTGAGGGTGACTTCAGGGGATGCCTGAGAAAGAAGATACCTTCACATTTTCAAACTATCAGAAGAAGAGGATCCAACCAAGTCCAGGACTCAGTACTGAGAAACCGAGCACAAATCAGACACTGCATCTCCTACATCCCACCCCATGCTGTACCCGCAAGACAACTCTGTTACTGCTGTAGCAGGAGCTCGTTATCCCTCACATAGACCTGGTTCTCCAAGACCCAGATATGCAAGTTCCACGGTTAAACTTAACCCCTCAGAATTTCAGTCAACATCACCAAGCTGTTCCCTGCAGCCTACAGATAAGAAGAGATGCTAAGGAGACATCCCTGACACATTGTAATAGCCAAATGAAAAGCACTGCCAAGAGATGAAGGTGGCAGGCTAAACTTTGGCTTTTTATCCATTAATTGTGAGCTGTTCTTTAAGATAATTCTGGTTCTGTTAGATCTATCCTTTCAATGAATCACCACTGCTCCTGGAAGACAGAAAAGATAAGGTTTGGAGTTTTTTTTAATAGCTTGGTTTTTTCTGACATGCTTTTTAACTATGTCCATTTGGATGTTTGCTTTGTTGTACAACATCTAAACTTTCACAAGTCCAGATCACCCAATGGTACCTTGCAATCCCCAGCTTGTATAAACTCATCTAGCCACAGCAATTTAGGAGAGGCCTTCCCACCAGTACCTGCTGACATCTTGCCTATTATTGCCCTTCAGAAAGAGAGCGACACTAGATTTGTAAGCAGTTTCATAATGATATATTTTGGCATTTACATCTTGCTTACTTTCACCAGGCATCAGCTCCCCATCTTGACAGAGCTGGACAAAAGTTATGTCCCACGAGGATACCAAGGGCCAAATACTCCTGACATAATTTAGAAGCACAACTGACAAGCGAACAAAGCTGGCAGTTCTGTGACTGGGGCTCTCAAACCACCATGCCGCCTTTTCTGCTGCAACCATACATTTAGCAAATGCAGCGTGCAAGGAGGCTACAATACCCTTCCTCAAGTCCCATTGTATGTTTACCTTCTACGACCAAACTTTCTTTGGCCTACTGGTGCCTTAATTTGCGTTATAAAATCTTTTGAGTTTGGGAGAATCGATTTCATTAAAAGCTACCTCCAACTCCAAGGAAGGCAGTAAAATCTACTGGTGATTGAATTGCCTCATCTGTGCACTAAGACCTACTGCAGGAAAAACCCAAAGATCATTTAATCTCAGCATATATTACTTTTTAGTAATGGTATGGCAGCCAGGGTCAAGCAGTGTAACTATTCCAGTGAATCCAGTCTGTTGGGTCAAAGCATCCAAGACTCCATCTCTGTGCCGAAAAAATCTTGCGCAGAGTCAGCATCTCACAGCTCGCTCTCTCCCTCTTTCACTGCACCTGGGCTCTATTTTCACATTCTTGGATGGTCGTTGCGCCCTATGATGTCTCCAATCCCATGCCTCCATATAGCATATGGGTACTACAGAGAGGGATGCAAGGGGGCTCCAAGCACTGTGCCTTGTAGGATAATTTCCTGAGCTTTCAGAGCTTGGTGGGGACATTCCTAAACAGAGGTGCTTATCTCAGACTGATCCTCTGTAGCCCCGTAGCATGGCACAGCACAATGTCTGTAACGTCAGGAAAAGGCAGCGCTGCAGCGAGATCTGCTTCCAGACACCATTTTCAACTCAAGTGTACTGGAATGACATTTATCTCCCTGAATGTCATGAAGAAACTCATTATCCCACCTTAACAATGAGAACGACAGGAAGAGACTTTCTATATTTATACTATTATTATTCTTTATTACCAAGCTATGCAGTTAAGAGCTGGGTATGGACATGCAGAGGCAGGACAGGCAGAAAGCCAGACTGCATAGCAGGGAGTGCTTTGGTGGTTTTTTTCCTTTATGAAAGAGTGGTCAAAATGTGGCCATGTTTTCTGGTAGATACCATGGCAAGGGAGGGCTCTGAACAGGGAACAGCAGAAGGATGCTGAATTGGCCCCATGGATTCACTTAAGAGCTCTTCCCTGGGGTGAAACGCACAACAGAAAACATCGAAGTCTTTAGATAAACGAGTAACAGGCAGGTAACATCATCGTGAACTGACCAGATGTAAGAGCTGAGCTCTCCGTATTGACTGAGAGGAAAGGTTAGGATTGGAGATGGGCTGAAAAATGCACTGAAGGTGAAAGCAGATAGGTTGCGCTTGATGCCATAGAGAAGGGAATCCAGAGAAAGGAGGCAAAGAAAAGTGATATGAGCAGCACATTGGGCTAGGAAATGGTGGCATCTGCAGCTGACTTGTGAATGGGCAAGAGCCTGAGTTTGCTCAGGCCAGAAAACGAAAGTTGCAGCAACTAAGACAGAAGTTTCAATTGTGCAGATAGAGAATAAAGGACGTAGAGGGCAGCTGACGGGTCTATAAACTTAGACAGATCTCTCATCCCTTCTACTCCACTAATCCTCCTCCCTCTCTCAAATGCATGCATGTGTGCTTGTACATAATACACAAAGCTATTATGTGATATTAAGATTGTCTTTAACACAACATCGCATCCTTACTCAGCAAAAATTAAGCACACATTCAACTTAAGCTGCTTAAATTCTCCACTACGTAAGAATAGACTGAAACAGTCCTGAATTTCAGTCCGTAAGGTTGGCACGCCTTTCCCCTAGCACCTATGCCATAACTCGTGATTACTGCATCTCACGTTCCCTGTCCTGGAGAGCTTAAAGTGCAAATATAACTCATTCATTTCCAAAGCACAGTTTTAAGTGTTCTGCGATAATAATTAATCATCAAGTTATTATGGAAGTCATTCAAAAGAATTAGTGACATTAAACTAAATCTTCACTACCCCTGTTGTTCACAATGACACAGCCTTTGTTATAGCCTCTACAACAGGGAAATTAATCCCCTCTAGACAACAAAAGCCTCTCTTGTGAAAGCCTCTGTAAATATATTTGTTCAAAGACAATTGCCAGCTAATGATCTACTAGCTTGTGGAGCGGTGTATTGGTCTGATTCTCAAGCCAACTTGTCACACCAGCTGGGAGGCCAATTCTTTTCTCCTGGGGTTGCTAGAACCACAGGGCTCACCTGGGAACTCAGTGGTAGGTGTCTGAGCAACTTCTCATAGCACAGGCAGCAAGGAACCAACCATTGATTGTTGCTATCAAGAGACTCAGTCACTAATATGAAAGTTGGCAGATATGGTAGAGGGTCCAGAGGCACTCAGACAGCAGGAAAAGAGCTGGTGCAATGCAGTGATGAGATGTCACACAGTATGGTCCCCAGCACTGGCTGGAATAACCACTCCTGGCACGCCATGGCCTCGTCACACAGGGAGAACATGGTTGTTCAGGTCTTGGGATGCAAGGGGACATCCTGACCTGGTCAACGGGAGGGAACACACAAAATTTGGTGGATGATATCAAACTGGAGGGAGTAGTCAACAGACTGGAGTGCTGGGCTGCTATTCAGAGGGACCACAACAGGCTGGAGAAATTGGCTGATGTAAACTTCACGCAGTTCGGGGATGGAAAATGCAAAATCCTGTATTGGGGACGGAATAAACCCTGGCAGTACAGGCTGGGCATTGATGAGATAGAAAACGTTTCTACAGAAGAGGACCTTAAGGCCTGGAGCACAGGACATGCAGGAAGATGCTGAGATAAATGGGTTTGTACAGCCTTGAGAAGGAAAGATGAAGAGTGATCTTAGTGCTGTCTACAACGATGTAAAGGAAAGGTGTAGAGAAGATGGGGCCAGGCTCTTCTTTGAGACGTGCAGCAATAGGGTAAGGGAAAATGAACACAAGTTGCAGTAATGGAAAATCTGAGTAGATATTAGGAAAAAACCTGTCACCACGAGGGTGGTTGAACACTAGAACAAGGACCCAGAGAAGCAAGGGAACCTTGAAGACATTCAAAGCTCAACACAAAAAGGCCCAGAGCAGCAAGCTGTGTTACTTGCAAACCTGATCAAACTTTGACACTGGTCTTGATTTGATCAAGGTGTTTGCTCAGGTGATCTCCAGAGATCCCTTCCAACAACCAAAGTTATTCTATGATTTTATCTTCTAAATCAGCCCAATTCCATTTCAGATATTCCCCAAATTTCTCCTATTTCCTATACATCTGTGCATATAGCTATAGGCAGATGGTAGACAGACAGGCATTAGAGGAACTCAACCTTTAAGAAAGTTCCCAATGAAGAATTCATTATGACATTTTGCTGAACACTTAAAGAAAAAAAAGACAGCAGAAACACAGGAACTTCAGAATATGTAAAAAGAAATCTGAATGAAAGTGGGGGCGACAATTAGAATAAAATGCTGCTTATATTCAAAGATTGAAATCATCTGTTTGAAATTTCAAACTGGCTTTCAAAAGTTCATAATGAAATGGAAGAGATGATAGATGCCCTCATCTGACAAGGGAAATCATATCAGCTCTTGATCTCCGTACACATGCAATCCAGTTATTCAAAATTCTACTTTTTTTTGTGTAGTTTGAAATAAAACTTTTGTAATGCTTCCCATTTCTTTATTGCAAATCAGGACTGAAATATTTAATTGCTGAAGTTCAGAAACCCTTAAAATCCCTATCAAGCAGGATTCAACATATGCTGTATCACTCAATAGAATAGTTGGCAAGTACATTGCAAAAAGACTTTACTGGGTATTTATTTTGGTGGTGACAACTAGATCTGGAAATCCCAGAGGAAAACTGTACAGTGATTTACAAGATCCTGCCTACATATTTTCCACAGTGAAAAGCAGCAGCCTGCTTAAATAGCTTTGCCAGGCTTTGGTGGAAGCTCCTCTTGGACCCTCATGTTTCACAGGAGAAAAGTAAAAAGTCTTCTTTTGAGCCCTGTTTTCCTGGGGAAGAAATTGTGTGCAAAAACTCAGGTGCACCAAGTCAGACAGCAGGTCTTTGCTGGATTCTTGACCTCAGCTCCTACACCAAGACCTCTGGGACCAAGCAACTCTCAACTAATTACCAGACAACTGAACCGGTTTCCCGGCAGATGCGGTGTCAAAAAGGCATTACCCTCTCCAATTCAGCAAAGTGGAAAACCGGTGACTGTCTTCTGAGACCAAAAGGAGCAGTACAGGCTGTCGCAATACAATTCACATCAGGCACTTGATTAGGGTACCACCGGAATACCATGCGCTTGTGGACCCCAGAGAACGGGTGTATTTGGCTGACAGTGGTATGTAACCATTTCAGAAGGTACTTACCATCAGGAGGTTGCAAGCTAGCTACTAACACTCTAGCACTCTCCAGGAAATCTGGGAGAGAGAAAGCTCTAGAAGAAAACGTCCCCAACCCGTGCACCAGATATTTGCTGCATCTTTTGCCTGTGCCCTCCTTAGCATTCTGGTTTGGGGCTGTAGTGCAGCTTTGAAGCCAGTGTCTGCTCATCTCCACTTAAGAGCTCATTCTACTTCAGAATATTTGGTCCCAGGGACCAGATCAAACCTACCGCAAAACAAAGTTCCTGGACCACACAGCGTTATTGTCAGGGTCTCAATACCAATTGCTTTGATCTACAGTCTCCAATTGCACTTGCTAATATAGACACAGCTGCTGATAAATTCTTACATGTCTCTTTCACCAGCTCATAGCTGGCCATTTCCTAACACTGCATTTGATCTACCTGAACTGAGCTCCCAGAGCTGTCATCTGCCACGCAGTATCCCATACAGCCCGAGGGCAGTCAAGTTGCCTTCCTGTATTTGCGCTTTCAAACTAACAGAATTGGTCTTGCAAGAAGCTGTGCTGCAGACACCGTTGCAGTATAAAACTTCACTGCAGCTTGCAGAGTTTTACCAAAGGTTGCGTCACGCTTAAAACACTGTAAGCAACTGCAAAACCCACGCGTCCTGCCCATTTCCAGCTACGGCTGCAATGCAGCAGCTCAGATGCTCTGGTTCCTTTTTGTTACTGTTTACCAACTATATTATCACACAACGGTGTTCTGCACAAAAAAGATGAGCTCTTTTACCTCTGAGTGCTGATGCAGTAGCGGGCCTCCCGATTACCAACGTTGCGAACCAGCAGAGTTTTCTGGGTGCTGTACTTGACTGGACAGACAGAGAAGTTCAGCTGGTCAGGGAAGTCCAGGATAGCTCGGGCACCTATAGCTCGGATTGGCACAATAAACTTTTCCCTTTCTGTGATGCAGGTGAGCTGGTGGAAGTAATCCTGAGGGGAAAGAAACAATTGCAGCACAGTGAATTTAGTACCGCCCCCATGGCAGAAGAAAAACTGCTGTTTTTTATGACTCTAACAGTAGCATTCAATAATGTAATAGTACTTTTTACCTTAATGACCTTTCATTCCAGTAGCAATACTTGGACAGGGCTGTTAACTTGCAAAGAAGAAACAACCTCATTGATTCACCTGCTTTCGCAGCAAGCTGGCAGAACCAGACAAAATTATCTGATACTTTGATTCTGAGGCACCAAAATAGAGTAATTTCACGTAAGGGATTACAGCAGTAACAAGAACCTGCTTCAATCACCACTGCAGACGACTAAAGGCACCACTGAGAAGCCGGTTGTGCCACAGCACTAACTTCAATCCCAGCAATGCAGCGACCTCATTGAAGCTTGGCAGGGGATGCTTAGGTACATTTTCAAAAGGACTTCACCACATGCACGATCAACAGTCAGTCTTTGGTGAAATACTTAACAAGCTGGACACAATAATTGTTTTAATGTCAGGTGAGCATAGGATACGTGTGTACTTCCCGCCCCTTCCCACAGCATTATAGGGACAAGGCCAGGGACACACACACCCCCTTAAAAAGCTATCTGATCCATCTCCCCACCCCAGAACTGGCTGGGCTCTATACCCAAACTATTCTTGGGAGATGTTTGACAAGTACTTAAAAGCACTAACAATTCCACCCCTGCCCTCAGCAGCCTATTCCAGCCCTACCCTAGGCTTAAAGAGAACTCTTCCTGCGTCTTATATCAAATTTCCCTTTACATCTCATCCTAGCCTCAGGGGATGCGGGCGATAGCTTTGCTTTCTCTCTGCTGCATATTCTGGCATGGTTGATGCCTTAATCACGTCCCTCTTGTAAGGTCTCTAGAATAAGTGACTTGGTGCCTTGTTAGCATGCCTACCTGAGGCAGGTGGTATCAGGGGCTGCAAATGGCAGACTCAGACATCCCTACCAGAGCAAACTCGTGTGCTATTCCTAATCATTGGCTTGTTCAGAAAAGAGCCAGACAGTCCCCCCGAGCTGTCTGGCATTTAGCAGTAGGAAGGCGAATCAAGCCACCAAAATCATTTTACTGTGGGGTTGAGCAGATCAATCTCCAGATATACGGTGTGGCACCGCTGTGCTGGAAGTATTGCCTTGCCCCCGCTGAAATCAGTGGTAAAACTGTTGCAGTAGGGCCAGGAGCCATTACCTCCAGCAGCTCTCTTATTGACAAGTTGATAAAAGCCCTGCCTCTTATCACTCACTTGCTGTCCTGATCTTTTTTTCCCCTCGGTGCTTTTAACTCGTTTGATATTTTTTATAATTGTTGAAGCAGGAAGCAAACAATTTGATTTAGGAATTGCACACAGCAGCAAACTCCCTTAACCAGAACAGATTCAGATTCCTCCGTACTTGGGATTTGCTGCTCCCACACCCATCCCCTCCGAGCCTGGAAGGGACCTAAGGCAGCCAGACGAGGCACAGACACACAGCTATTGCTTTAACACAACAACTAACACCCAGTGCCTACCAACCACCTGCTCAGCTGGGGTTTAAGGTTGCAATAACAGATGCTGTCACATCTAAGATGAAAAAAGAATGAAGGAGGATCTTTTTTTTTCTAGACATCTCAAATATTCAACACTGGAAATTGCAGAAAGGCTTTTGCTTCTCATATTTGGAAGGTAAAATACCAGGAAGGGAACTGCAGCAAATGACCTACGGAATCGAGTATCACATTTCAGGAGAGCATTTCATCTTCAGCAAGTCTTTCTGAATTAGCAATTTTGTAGTCCATCTTGCAGCCTAAGCCCTCTAAAATAAAAGATATGGGCAGCCCATGTGAATTTAAAGCACCTATTATCTGGGTACTACACATCCTGGATGGTTTAGATCCTCAGAAACTGCATTAGCAAATGAAGAATGCTATTTAGAGTTTTTTTGTAATTTTGGCCACACTACTGTAACAAAGGCATTGTAAATCCAATTGAAAGCTGCGTGTCTTATTAAGTCTTGGCATGCCATATTTACTTATCTCTCCCTTCCAGATGCCAGGTAGACAGAGGAGGATGCAAGGAGTTCAGATCAGCATGGCGATAAAGAAAAAAAGAAACTTCAACAATTGGAGGTATTTGAGGGAAGTAAAAGGAAATCATTTTCAAGTCATTGTCATTGCTAAGGAGCAAGTGGATCAACAGCAATTTAAATAAGAGCCCAAGGAATAGATCCCCCCCCCCCAACACAAAAAAAAAGCCGCCCTCCCCAGCC